GGCATTAGGAAGGTTGAGAACCACTGGTCTAGAGGCCCAGTGCATGAAATTTGTGCAATGGAGAGGGGAGGATCCCTCAGTGTGAGAGGGTGCAGGCTAGGCCGAGGGACCCCACCAGTGCAGGATCAGGGATAGGGGGGATGTGGGAGGTGGGCCAGCCAGGGAGGGACCGAAGGAGGACTCCAGGGCGTGTCCAGCCCGTCTTGTTCAGTCCCCATCAGCTGGACCCCAGCAACAAGCTAACCTACTAGTTGGTGCATCTGTCCCCTGGTGGTCAGTGCAGGTTATAGCCAGTGATTGGGTGGCCTTAGCATGTCATTAGCATATTATGCTTTGATTGGTTGAACAGACGACCAGACACTTAGCATATTAGGCTTTTATTATATAGGACTAGAGGCCCGATGCACAAAATTCGTGCAAGGGGCTTGGCCCTCGCAGCCCCGGCTTCGTCCAGAAGGTCATCCAGACGGTTGTTTTGCTGTTTGGCTGTTTGATCAATTTGCATATCATGCTTTTATGATTATAGATAGCCTCCCTTCTTTCAGCCCCAGAAATCTTATGTCCTAATGAAGCACACATGTATTGCCCTGAACACAACATACGGTTTAAGATATATTATAGGAACTTATGGCCACAGAGAAATGGACTCTGAAGTTTCCCCCTACATCATAGCGGAAAGGACAGTCTCAGTTACTTTTCTTTGAAAAGTGGCCTAAACTCCAAGTAGTAGGTCTAAAAACATCTTTTACTCATTTGTATCCCCAGTGCCTAGGACAGTCTGGTATCCAATAAATAGCAAATGCCCAATACATATTTAATAATGAATAAATGTGATGGTCATTATTTCTGACTTCTCTAAATTGACAACAACTTGAACACAGGATCCACTCTTAATCACCTAACACAAGTATTGACAGATATTGTTTCCAATTATGTTTGCTGTTCTTTAAATGAATTTTACATACTCCACTCTTGTTACTATGGTTTAATGTTTTATGTTGGTCAGTATTGAAGATTTAAAGCCAGAAGAGGTTTTATCATTTGATACAACTCTTTCATTTTGATTTTCCCCTAGCAGCCTGGAAATGCTGGGTCTAGTACCAAGTTCTCAGATTTTGTAGGTTAACTACACTTTGTAACTTAGATTGAATTTATGAAATAACTTTTGCCACTTTCATTTTTTTAAAAACAACACCTTCAAGAGAACCTCATCATCTAATATTTATTTCAGGCAGCATTTTTTGAATACCTACTTTGTAAAGAGACGTTTAAAGAAAGAAATAATTAAGTTTGCAATCTTGTAAAGACCCTTATAACCTAGTGTTGATAAACATGTGATTTGGCAAAAGAAAACACAGTTTTGTTTCCCTTTGGATAGGGATTTCTTAAAGTTGGAAATTTTATGTCGTTTTATCTCACTGTCAATTTTAAGTTGCATAGCTTGTAAAGTTTTATTAGAGGTCTTCAATGTACATTTTAATTAATTTTATTTCTAGGTGTTCTCATCTGTAGTCTTTACCAGCCATTGTGGTTTAATCAATTAGTAACAGAGAAGAATCATTAAAGAGGAGAAAATGGCAAATCTAAAAATGAAAGAGGCAGCCCTTATCTATCTTGACAGAAGTGGAGGGCTCCAAAAGTTTATAAATGATTGCAAATACTACAATGGTATGTTTAGCAAAGGTAACTTTATTTTAGAAACTTTAAAATAAATACCTACATATGACTATCCTCATTTTTATATTTGTGTATTTTTACAGATTCAAAACAAAGTTATGCTGTCTATCGATTCAATATTTTAATAAACCCCTCTGATATTGTTGAATTAGATGCTGAACTTGGAAATCACATTTTACATCATCCTGTAAAAGCTGCTGAAGTTTTCCAATCAGTAAGTTAAAGAAAGAAGTAATTTTATGCCACATGAAATTTTTGGTAACTTTTTTTTTGTTTGAAATCACAGGTCTGTTTTATTGCTGTTAAGACTCTCTCATTAATTGGACAATTACAGACTGAAACTCAAGTAAGTTTTAGTTTAATTAAACAAAGAAAATACATATACAATACTTTTAAAATGACTTGAAATAAATATTTTATATTCTTTTTTGTTTATTAAAATAAAATTTTCTAAGTTCAATAGAATATCTTACATACGCTTCTTTGTTTCCTGTATTATCACTTATAACATCAAACATTTTGATAATAAAATATTTCAAACACACCCCAAAATAAAGGGACTAATATGACAAACCTGCATATATCTATCACTCAGATTTAATAGTTTATAATATTTTGCTATGCCTGCATCATCAACATTTTTTCTGAAATATTTTAAAACAAGTCCCAGATACTCTGTTATTTCACCCCTACATAGTTTAGTATCAACCTCTAAAAATTGTGGACATTTTTCTTATATAACCACAGTGACATTACCACCCTTTATAAAAATAGCAATAATTTCTTGGTATCATTATAATATTCGGTCTGTATTTAAATTTACCCAGTTGGGGCCTCAAGAATGTCTCACAGTTAATTTATTCAAAACAGGGTCAAAGCAAAAGTCTACACATTATAATTGGTTTTTACATCTCACTAAATCTCTCTTAGTCTAGAGCCATTTTTCTCCCCCTCCCTTTTTATACCATTGAATTTTTAAAGAAACTAGTTAATTGTTCTGTAAAATGTCTCATAATCTATATTTAACTGATATGATCTTGTGGTATTTGACTTGTCCCCCTATACCCCATATATCTGGAAAATAGAAGTTGGCTCTAAAGGCTTGCTTAGATTCAGATTCAACTCATTTTGACAACAATACATCATAGTTAGTTTCATAGTTCATATTACACTTCATTAGGAGAACTCTGCGACCTGTTGTCCCATTTTAGCAATGCCACCATTCATCAGTGAGTTCAGGTGATGTCAGCCAGATCCCTGCAATATACAGTTTCCCTATCAACTTCCACCTAAAGGTTTTTGCAGCCATTGATGATCATTACCTAGAATCTATTATTTCATTAAGATTGCAAAATTGTGATTTTTCTACTTTAGCATCCTTCAGAATGTATTAACTGAAATTATTCTATAATAGAAGTTTTCTTTCATCATCTCTTTGGTTACCCTGAAATACAATTTGTACAAGAAAGGCAGAATAAATATTTGATTATTTCCATTTATGAATTATCAGAGTAATGAGTTGAAATCTAGCCTCTAATGATGACCAATAATTATTTTTGTTTTTGTTCTTTTTTGAAAATAATTGTGAGGAACTCATGAATTTTTAAGTATATCTGATATGTTTCAATGAATCTTTGTCATTCTTTTTGATACTTTTATTATCCTACCTTTGGTCTTTGGGTATCCCTTAAAGTTTGCTCCTATCCCCTTTGGGCCCATCCCATTAATTGTTGTTTTTTAATTGATTGATTTTAGAGAAGAAATGGGGCGGGGAGAGAGAGACATTGATTTGTTGTTCCACTTATTTATGCATTCATTGGTTGATCCTTATGTGCCTTGACCAGGATCAAACCTGCAACCTTGGCATATCAGGACAATGCTCTAACCAACTGAGCTACCCGGCCAGGGCCATCCCATTAGTTTGGTTTTTTGTTTGTTTGTTTGTTTTTGTTTTTGTGTGTGTGTGTTTTTAAATATATTTTTATTGATTTCAGAGAGAAAGGGAGAGGGAGAGAGAGATAGAAACATCAATGATAAGAGAATCATTGATTGGCTGCCTCCTGCATGTCCCCTACTGGGGATCGAGCCCGCAACCCGGGCATGTGCCCTTGACAGGAATCGAACCTGGGACCCTTCAGTCCACAGGCCGACGTTCTATCCACTGAGCCAAACCAGCTAGGACTCATTAGTTTTTTAGAGCTGCCTTGGTTTCTAGCACAAGGAGATGTACCAGGTCCATCTGGTATATTTTCTGCCCCAGACCTGGAATCAGCCATTTCTCCCTAGGAGCTCTGGTTCCTTTTAGTGATAAATTATATTTAGCAATCACAATCTGGGCAGTAGAAATGTTTTATATCTTTTCAGTGGCTATATCCAGAAATGTGTATTTTTTAGGGAAAAATATTAGTTAAAAATGATATTTTCAATTAAAATGTAAGATTTTAAGGGTTTTGCATCTTTAATTGTATATTTAAATATCATTTATGTTTAAAATTTTGGTTTCTAATAACACTATCAAATCATTTACTTGATTTACCCTACAAATATACATACATTATAATGCAAGTCCAATTGGATCTGCAGTTTTTATTAATACAATTTTTATGTTCTTATTAGATTAATATCGTGCTGAAGTTAACACATTTACCTTCTCTGCCAAGTTATAGTCTTAATTTTTGTGAGTTTCGACTTGATTATACATCTCAAAGATTTTATATGATGCAAGGGATTGTGATTGCAATGACAACTGTAACCAAGTATACACAAGGAGCAAGATTTCTTTGTTCAGATGAAGCATGCCCTCTTTCAAAAGGTAAATATTAAAATGTAAAATCAAAACATTAAGCAATTTATTGTTTAATCCTAAATCATGTTTACAATTAGTTCTAAAACATTCACAGAGTAGAAAGCATGTTAGAAAATTTGGTGTCTCTCAGTGTTTATAAGTTGAAATGCATTCATTTTCCCCCTCTCGTATACCAAGTTAACAGGTGCTCTTGTATTGCTGAAGTACTTGTTCTCACATTGTTTCATAAGTGTTTGTTCATGCTGTTCCCACTCCATGCAATATCCTCTCTCAACCCTTTGGCTTAACTTCACTTTAGTCCTCCAGGACATCTTTCCCATTCATCCTCATCTCTCAATTGGGTGGGATGCCCTCCTCTCTTCTCTCTGTAAATGAATAATACATACTGAAATTATGTTTCTTAATGCCTCCTATTGAAATTGTGTGTTTAAGTATCCATACACCAGTGCCTTAGCACAGTGTTTGGTAAGAAATAACCATCAATAAATGTTAATTGAACTGTTCTGAACCCACATGCAAAATTGAATTAATTATACTTTGAATTAGATTAATTTTAAAGAACTGAAAATGGATAGCTAAATCCAAAAGCAAATTTAGCTTACTTCTGTTCTCTTCTTTTCAGGATTTCAGTATATAAGAGTGCATGCGCCTGGTGCTACAGAATCTGCAACAGTAAGAAATGACTTTTTATGTAATCTGTGTTCTTCTTCACTTCAAGAAGACAGAAAATTTAGAGTGCTTGGTGGTAAAAAAAAAAGCTTTTACATTTGTAATTTTAATTTTCAATGTAGTGTCTAATATTTTAATGTGGAAATTAAGTTGAATAATATTCTAATAACATTCTCTTTTTGCTCTTTGCGTTAAGATAAACAGATAGTTGAAATAATTACTGCAAAGGCACTTCATGCTTTTCAAGGATATTCTAATACCCAGCCATTTAGGTTTCAATCTCTTACAATTTTCCTAAGAGGTAAGTTTTATTTGAACTAAAAGCAAGTTGCTATAAAATATATAAAATATGTAATTGAGTTACTTATGCTTTTATATTATAAGTGGTACTTCTACACAGTTGTCCCCCTTTATCCATGGTTTCACTTTCCATGGTTCAGTTACCTGTGGTCAACCATGGTCTGAAAATATTAAGTGGAAAATTCCAGAAATAAACAATTCGTAGGTTTTAAATTGCACACTATTCTAAGTAGCATGATAAAATCTCCCGGGATGTGAATCATCCCTTTGTCCAGTGTCTCCATGTTGTACACACTCCCTGCCTGTTTGTCACTTAGTAGCAATTGAGGTCATATCAACTGTCAAGGTATCACAGTGCTTGTGTTCAAGTAAGTAACCCTTATTTTACATAATAATGCCACATTCACTTAACTTTTACTTATATTGTTATAATTGTTCTATTTTATTAGTAGTATTGTTGTTAATCTCTTACTGTGAATAATTCATAAATTAAACTTTATCATAGGTATGTATGTATAGGAAAAAAACAGTATATATAGGGTTTGGTACTATCTGTACTTTTAGGCATCCCCTGGGGGATCTTGGAATGTATACCCCACAGGTAAGGGGAGACTGCTATAGATTAAAAATAATAGGTCATCTTATTCTTGAGTGTTTTAAAGAGTCATATTTAACTTTGTGTCAATTATTCATTTAGTTATACAACATTCACTTAAAAAGATATTAGGACTTGCTATGTCGCAAGCACTATACTAAGGCTCAAGGTCGTGATTATTTTATTTATGGGAATGATCTCCCATCATTCTATGTGTGTGTCCTATGTAAATATCGGAGTTATTATTTTAGAATATAGGCTTCATGAGGGTAGGGACTTTGGTTTTTTTACTGCACATAAGGTCATATAGCTAGTACATGGCACAGCTGTAATTCAAACTCAGGCATTACAGTTTCAAAATATATGCTTATTAGTATCCCAGTGCATGAAATTTGTGCACATTAAAAGGGAATTAATTTAGAGGAAATATTTTAATACTGCTATTTGCCCTTTCTCTATAATAGAAGTGTCAAAGATGAAAGAAAATTAGTAAAATGTATATGAAAATCTTCCTCCTATCAGAGTCTGGGGCATGCCGCGGGACCCAGAGTCAAGTCCCCGCCCACCCACGTGCTCCTCAAAATCGCACGAGACCCAGACCCGGCAGGCCCCACCCCCGTCAAGCCCCGCCAGGCAGGGGGCGCAGCTTTAGGTCCCCCAGCCCGGTGCCAGGCGGGGAGTGCGGCCTGAGGTCCCCCAGCCCGGGCCGGGGCGGGGGGCATGCCTTGATATCCCCTGTCAAGCCCTGCCAGGTGGAGGGCAGGGCCTGAGGTCCCCCATAAAGCCCCACTGGGCAGGGGGAGTGGCCTCAAGTCCCTACTGATCGCTCGTTATGGGAACCCCACCTCCGCTGTGGGCGCAGCCATCTTGTGATGGTGTTACACGTGAGGGTCAATTTGCATATTACCTCTTTATTATATAGGATAACACTTCATTCTATTATATAGTATTATATATTACATGTAATCCATTTATTACAATATCCTATATAATGAAAGGGTAATATGCAAATTGACCCTAACAGCCAAACAACCAGGATCGACTGGTCACTGTGATGCTCACTTACCACCAGGGGGCAGACGCTCAATGCAGTAGCTGCCCCCTGGTGGTCAATGCGCTCTCACAGGGGGAGCTTTGCTCAGCCACAAGCTGGGCTGATGGCTGCAAGCGCAGCAGCGGTGGCGGGAGCCTCTCCTGCCTCCATGACAGCGCTAAGGATGTCCGACTGACGGCTTAGGCCCGATCCCCCAGGGAGCAGGCCTAAGCTGGTGGGTGGACATCCCCTGAGGGATCCTGGACTGCGAGAGGGCACAGGCCAGGCTGAGGGACCCACCCAACAAGTGCATGAATTTTCGTGCAACGGGCCTCTAGTATAAATATAAGTGGCTATACAGCTTATATTTTAGTAGAAAACCCTTTCTTCAAATAAATTCTTACATAGAACCTAAATAAATTTTTTAAAATTATGTGAATAAAGTTTGACTTTTTGGGGTTCAAATCAGAAGAGATAACCACTTCCTAGACTCCTTGCCTTCATCTTGACCTTTCCTTGACTTCAGGACACATCCATTAAACTCTAAGATTCCATGACACAATTGAAAAACTATTCATTTTTATTTTCCTTTCATTATTTTCTGTATCATTTAATTCAGTGGTTCTCAACCTTCCTAATGCCACGACCCTTTAATACAGTTCCTCATGTTGTGGTGACCCCCAACCATAAAATTACTTTCGTTGCTACTTCATAACTGTAATTTTGCTACTGTTATGAATCGTAATGTAAATATCTGATATGCAGGATGTATTTTCATTGTTACAAATTGAACATAATTAAAGCATAGTGATTAATCACAAAAACAATAATGTAATTATTATGTGTTTTCCGATGGTCTTAGGCGACCCCTGTGAAAGGGTCGTTCGACCCCCAAAGGGGTCGCGACCCACAGGTTGAGAACCGCTGATTTAGTTGTTGCTAGTTTGGTTGGTTGATTTGAAATTTTTATTTTCTCAATTCTTGAGCCTGAGTCTTCTCTTCCAGGTCTACAGGGTACACCAGTATGCTCTCTGGAACTTAAAAAAAAAAAAAAAAAAAAAGAGAGCAAGAGAGAAAAGGATAAAAATGATGATCACTATTTGATCTTCCTCATAGAGAGAAGTTAAACCTTGTTTTGCCTTATAAACCTGTCTTTCCTAGCTTTACAGCTACCCAACTTCTAACTGTGTAATGGAAGATCAAGATTTTTGGTGTATGTTTTTTTAAATAACGTTTTTGAACTTGTGCAAAAATTTTGCCCAATATGTAAGTATGAGAGAGGAATCTAGTATAATGCAAGAGGGTAGACTTTGGAGATAGGCAGACCTAGACGTGAATTTCAGTTTTGGTAATTTTAGAACTCTGTCCTTTAAGAAGAATGACTTTAGCTTTGTGCAAGGCACTTAACCTCTCAGTTCCTTCATATATAAAGTGGGGATGACAGTATCAATCTTACACTTTACAGTTAGGTAATGTATAGAAAAGTACCTTGCCTGTATTATAGACAGTAATAGTACCTTTTAAAATTATTTTCTCCCCTAATAAAAGTATTATTTATAAGGTTATTTTTATTAACATTTCTTGTCATTTAATGTTAAAATATTTTATCTTAAGTAGAATGATCTTGTTTTTCCTTTTGACCATATATAGGAGACTACCTAGTTACTATGTAACATGCTTCTTGAAGTTAGTTCATCATTGTCTATAAGTGTCAAAATTTATCAGCAATAAAATTGCCTCAATTTGCATAATTAATGCCATTCTATATGGATATTATACTAAACAATAGTATCCTTTACAACTAATTCAACTACTGAATTGTTACTAGTTCTAGATCTTTGAACCATATGATCATGTACACGTTTCATTTAGTGAACACATTTTCTTTTGCGTTTAATAATTTTAGATGAATTGGTGAATAAAATGAGTATAGGAAATGAGTATAAAATTATTGGAATTCCAACCTGTGTAAAAACTTTACAAACTTCTGTCTGTATAGAGGCAAACAGCATCACTTTTTGCAATCCAAAAGGTAAGGAAAGTGTTAGTATCAGATATTAACAAATATTTAAATTTAAATCCATTTGTTTAGGAAATAAGTATTGGCTGCCTGTGTGCTGGGCACTCTTCTAAGCATGAGGGATACAGTTGTGTTAGGACAGTTAAGGTTCCTACTCTGAAATCAGATGGTAGACAGTCAGTAAACCTATAAACTAATCAATAAGACAATTTCAGATAATAAATGCTATGAAGGAAATAAAATGGGATAATGTAGAACCTTCCCCATATGAAATCTCCTTTTTTTTTTCTTTTTTAGCTAAACCTTATTTTGCTTTTGGTGTTGTTGTTTTTTATAATTAGCAATGAGAAAAATATTTCAGGGTACCAAAAGTTAGAGATTAGTCAAAAGGTTTTTCTACCCTAACATTTATTTTCTAGCCTTAACTAGCTAGATCTTAGCTTGTGATCTGAGAGAGCCCAATAAACTATCATCGTTTTCCTCATTTGAATTCTGAACCAATTGAGATATAAGACAAAAGAGAAAGGCAGATGGGGGTCAAAATATCAGCTATCTTACAATTTCTTTAGCATTTTCAATATAATTAAGCATTAGGTAAACAAAAGTGGAGAGCAGACCTCTTTTAACTTGGCACACAAATATTTAAATGTAGCAAGGGCTAGTTAAATTTTGAATAGAGTTAGATTTTTTAAAGAATCCCTAGATAACCATCTGCAATAATAGAGACCTAAGTAGACTTTAAATGCAAGTTGATTCTAGATACCTCTGCTTATCTTGAAGAGAAAGTTTCTTAATAAAATTAAAATGTTGAAGAAAGAAAGGCACTAATACACAATGGACATTTTAGTGATCTTTTAAATGTTTTCTGCTGTGAGGTGTTTCAAGATTTATTGATTTAGTAGCAGAACATGACTTATATGTAGGTGGAAAAGTATGCTCTCTCATGCTGAACTCCAGAATTAGGCACATTTAACCACTCAACTGTGCTAAAAGCTACACTAAGGCAGCCTTCCTTGGTCCATGGACAGGGGTGAGTAGAAGAAATCATTGCTCTATGATGGTAGCCTGTCAGAGCACAGCTAGAGCACAGTTCAGCACAGGTGCCCTGAGTTCATATATTCTAAATTCTGCTTGACTATGCCAACTGTGGAGGCAGGTTCCTTCTCAAACCCTGCCCATTGCACTAACTGTCCGGGCCAAACCCCTCTGCCAGGGGCTGGACTTTTTTGGACGCCAGGTGGTAGACGGAGAAGCCATGAGAAGTTGTGGGTGTATAAGAATGAGTCTTTCATATAGAAGCCAGTGGCCACATAGCCATCAGACAAAACAGTCCTTCACAGCAAAGTCCCATACAGGTAGCCGCACACCAGCTGATAAACCAAATACATCTTTCTCACAAAGCAGCATCAATCTCTGTACTCACGGTTATTATCTGAGCAGCTGCACGCTGCCCCTACTCACCACGGCACCTGAGCTCTCTGCCTCAGCAGCTTCCCCAACCTCTCCAGGCTTTCCTGCACACATAGGAGCTACATCCTCTGAGCCTGTCTCAGCTTTTCCCCAGTACACTGTGACTGGCTGGTGAACATGTATTATATCACTTAGACCAGTGGTCGGCAAACTCATTAGTCAACAGAGCCAAATATCAACAGTACAACGATTGAAATTTCTTTTGAGAGCCAAATTTTTTAAACTATATATATAGGTAGGTACATTGTTATTAACTTAATTAGGGTACTCCTAAGGCTTAGGAAGAGCCACACTCAAGGGGTCAAAGAGCCGCATGTGGCTCGCGAGCCACAGTTTGCTGACCACGGACTTAGACAAAAGAGGCCTCTAGTCAACAGTTACATCAATAATTTTGGCTACAGAAAGGCACGTGTGCACAGTGTACTGTGAGATCACTGTGGCCTTGCACCTGCATATGGTATCTTAGTCTTGAACACTCTGATTAAGGTTCCCATGTTTAGAGTGGCCTTGGCCATCTGGTGTACTATCAACAAGGCCTCCACACTCTAATTAGCCTTGGCTATCCTGTGACTCTGGCATGGTTCCCACATAGCCCAAAAGGAAGGAGAAAGTGACTAGGTTATACATGCACAGCTATTCTTCCAAAACTGACCAATTCGATTAAATCATTCATCCTGTCCAACTTGCGGGAGTTGGACAGAGTGAGGAAGTGGAGGTCTATAATGTTACCATATAGTATAGTACAATGCTTTCAAAATACTAGAGTATAAATCTGCCTTTTAACAGCAACCGTCAAATATTTCCCATTCTGCTTTTTAGTCAAACATAGAAATACAGAAGCAAACACTGTAATACAAGAGCCCTGTGATCTGGCTTTGCTCCGATAGGTCTTAAAAGGAAAGGAATGAAGAATTTGCTTGCACCCCGCCACCAATCTCTGTGGACACTTGGGGTGACTGCTTCCTTTCGTGGGATAGAAATGATAGACCAGAGAGACCTCCAATCATAATGTTATCTATAAGAATTTTAATATGGCATCATTACAATAACTGTAATCTGGTGATAATATTTTAGATAAATAGAATTAGACATCTATCATGTCATTTTCTTGTTTTAAACATGTTATTATTTACTTTCAGTTCCTTCAGGAATTAGCGACAATTTCAGGTGTCTCCTCTCTTTGACTTCCAGCTCATGCTGGAAGTTTACAGCAATACTTGCCAATATCTTTGCATCACACATTGTTCCTCCCGGGACTTACAATTTTCTCAAGCTCTGTTTGCTGATGAGTCTAGTTCAGACAAGAGACTCTAACAAGGAACTGGAAGATTGCCTGGATATTTTAATTATAACAAGTGATACTCTACTTGTAGACAGGTAAAATATGTGATATGAATTTTTTCACATAATAAATTGGTCACAGATTTGCATAAATCTTTTCCATGAGCATTATTACAAGACAAATATTTAGGACTTACCTGGGCAAAAATTTATTTAAACACTTATCAATGAAATTTAAAACTTTTAAAATATGAATTGGGATGTTTGCTTTCAATGTTTTGAGAATCTAACCGTTCAAAGTTTCCATCTGTTTCCCCACTGAGACCTTTACAAATAAATGCATCATTCTCAGGCTTCCTTCCTCCCCCATTCCCTGCCTTAGTGTTCTGCTTTTGTACTTTGTTTTTATTTTTTAAATAATCTCCCCTCTGAGAGCCAACAAGCCATTTTCTTATTTTTCTTTAATATTCCACTCAGTAATACTGACTCACTATACCCATATAAGGCTGTCAAAAGTGCCCAAATTACTGTTTTGGGCGTATCACTCTAACATTGGAATAAACCTTTACTCAGCATTTTGGGGCTCCTCACTAACAAGTACCCCTTTTTAAAAGTTACTTAATATTCAGAAAGCGCCCTAACCGGTTTGGCTCAGTGGATAGAGCGTCGGCCTCCAGACCGAGAGGTCCCAGGTTCTATTCCTGCCAAGGGCATGTACCTTGGTTGCGGGCATATCCCCAGTAGGAGGTGTGAAAGAGGCAGCTGATCAATGTTTCTCTCTCATCGATGTTTCTAACTCTATCCCTCTCCAAGAAGAATGAGTATTTAAAAAAAAAATTCAGAAAGCTAGGAATATGCTTCTTGTATTAATATCTTATATGCCATTATAAAGAAAAAAGTCAAATATATAGAATGATTTAAAATTAAAAGAGCCCGGCTGGCATGGCTCAGTGGTTGAGCGTCAATCTATGAACCAGTAGGGCACATGCTCGGGTTGCAGGCTTGATCCCCAGTGTGGGGCGTGCAGGAGGTAGCCGATCAATGATTCTCCGTCATCATTGATGTTTCTCTCTCTTCCTCTCCCTTCCTCTCTGAAATCAATTTTAAAAATATGTTTTAAAAAATAAAATTCAAATATTTTTGCTGAAATTAAATTGCAGTGTAAATGTGCTAACTGCTACAGATTGCACAAATTTAATTGGAAATAAATTTCGGCATCATTTACAGCTTGTCAAACACTTCTATTATTTTTCTATGAAACTCCTTGATCATTTTTCACTTTTCTATTAAGTTGTTTATTTCTTTTTTTTAAGGACTTAGTTTTTTCAAATCTTCACAAATCATATCTAATTTTATTTTGATTTTTAGAGAGCATGGAAGAGAGAGGGAAAGACAGAGAGAAATATTGATGTGAGAGAGAAACATCGATTGGTTGCCTCCTGCACGAGCCCCAACCAGGGCCTGGGCCGGGATGAGCCTGCAACCGAGGTATGTGTCCTTGACCAGAATTGAATCTGGGACCTTTTGGTCTGCAGGTCAAAGCTCTCTCTACTGAGCCAAACAGGCTATGGCAAGTTGTTTATTTCTTATTGATTTGTGATACCTCTTATAAATTAAGGCCTTTGTCTCTTTTCCTTTTGTCATTAACCTTTGACTTTTCCTATGGCATTTGAGGCTGTGTGAGAGATTTGGGTTTTTTGTTTTGTTTTGTTTTTAGGTAACGTTTATATATAGTGAAATGATCAGATCTTAAGTATACAATTTGATGAATTTTGACAAATCCATACACTCCTATAGCCATCACCATAATTAGATATAGAACATTTCCATCACCTCAGAAAGTTCTTTCACTCCTTCCAAACAGTGCCTATCTCCACAGGTGATTTCTGTCACAATAGATTAATTTCCTGTTCTTGAACTTCATATAAATAGAATCATACAGTGCATACTCTTTCACTCAACATGTTTTTGATATTGACCCAATTGTGTGTATTAGTAGTTTATTGTTTTTATTGATGAGTAGTATTCCATTATATGACTATACCAGAATTTGTTTATCCATTCTTCTGGTGGTGAAGATTTAGGTTTTGCATGTTTTATTAAAAATAAATCTGCTGTAAACATTCTTGCACAAGTCTTTCTATGGACATGTGTTTTCATTGTCTTGGATAAATACTAAAGAGTGGAAATGCTGTGTCATAAGATAGATGTATATTTACCTTTATAAGACAGTGCCATTTTTCTAAAGTGGTTGTACAATGTAAGGTTACAGCTGTTTCTATCCTTACCACTGAATCTCATCTTTGATGTTTCTATCTCTCCCTCTCCCTTCCTCTCTGGTGTTGTCAGTCTTTCTCAATTTAACCATTCTAGTGTATATGAAATAGTATCTCATTATGATTCTAATTTGCATTTCCCTGACGACTACTGATTTGAGTTCTTTTTCATGTGCTTATTGGCTACTCATATCTCCTTTTAGGAAGTGTCTGTTCAAGTTCTTTGCTCACTTTTAAATTGGGTTGTTCTGGATATGCTTCCTTTGTCATAGATGTGTATCATGAACTGTTTCTCCCAGTCTAAAACTTAGATATCTTTGATGAACAGACTTTTTAGTTTTGATGAAATCAAATTTATTACTTTCTTATATGTTTATGTTTTGTCAGTTCTGTTTAAGAAGTGTTTGCAACCCCAAGGTCATAATTATGTTATTTTATGTTTTCTTCTAGAAGCATTGTAGTTTTCACTTTTAAAATATATTTTTTTATTGACTTTTAGAGAGAGAGGAAGGGACAGGGAGAAAGAGAAACATCAATGCCATCAATTGGCTGCCTCCTAACATGCCCCCTACGGGGGATCACGCCCTCAACCTTTTGGTGCAAGGGATGACACCCAACCAACTGAGCCACACTGGCCGGGCTAGTTTTCACTCTTACATTAGGTCTGTTATCTATTTCAAGTTAATTTTTGTATATGGTTTGAGGTAGGAGTCAAGGTTAATATTTTTGCTATATATTTCTCTAATTTTTGTATACCATTTTTTTGGAAAGACTTTTCTTTCCCCATTGAATTGCTTTGGTACCATTGTTGAAAACCAGTTGAACTGGATATAAACTAGTTATAATATTGAACTGAGTATAAATCATTTTGTTACCTGACAGGGACCAGCCTGGAGCAGGTCTGCCTCAGACCAGCCTGTAGCGTGTAGATTATTGACTTCGTGTAGGAAAGATTTCACAACACTAGTCCAAGTGATTTTGAAAGTACGTTTATTAAAGTTGGGGACAGTGAAACAAAGGAAATTTTTAGGATAGAAGAAGCAGCAGGAGCGAGAGCCTAGGACAGGTGGTGCTCTGCTTTGGTTCCCTCCTAGAAACTTAGGAAAGAAGTGAGTCAAGTCAGAGCTGTTGTTAGCTCATTCAGAAGTTAGCCAAGGCAGGGTTGCTTTTAGCTCACTGTAAAGTCAGAGAAAAAGGGGGCCTTGGAGCCCAGTCAGTGCGGGTCAGTGGTTGAGTGTTGACCTATGAATCAGGAGATCAAGGTTCGATTTCAGGTCAGGGCATATGCCTGGGTTTCCCCTGGAAGCAGCCAATCAGTGATTCTCTCTCACCATTGATGTTTCTATCTCTCCCTCTCCCTTCCTCTCTGAAATCAAATTAAATTTGATTGTGTATGTTACACATTATGATTTCTGAAAACCAAATATTAAATAATAGTAATGAATAATTTATTTTTCCCTAGGCTTTTGAATTATAGTATAAACCTTGTGCCCCGTGGTGTACGTCATCCAGTCTCTACTGAAATTTTTCCTACTCTATTCAGGAATAATTATGGAACTGGAGCAGTTAGCATTCAAGCTGGCAGTGCTTTGCTAGCTAAAGGTGGTATCTGCTTTATAGGAGACTTGGCTTCATACAAAAAAGATAAACTTGAACAGCTTCAATCAGGTAAACATTTTTTTCAAATTAATTTTCACCTGTTTAACTTATAGTCTCATCATTGTCAAGGAGCTACTTAACAGTTAAAAGTGTATTGTACTTGTTTTAGAAACTGAGAATTATACTAATTGGCATTTTTCATTTAATCTTTATAAATAAAAACAGAAAATTTTAATGGGCAAAATGCCTTTGCTCTCAGTTTGTATTGAAACAGATTTATATCCTTTTCTTATCTGATTGCAGTAAGTAGGACTTCCAATACGATATTGAAAAGCAGTAGTGAGAAGGGACACCTTTGTCTTGTTCCTGGTCTTAGCAGGAAAGCTTTGTTTCTCACCAAATATGATGGGAAACTTAAGTATGATGCCAGCTATAGTTTTTTGTAGATGTTCTCTTTCAAGTTGAAGGAGTTCCCTCTATTCCTAATCTACTGAGAATTATTTTTAATGAATGAAAGTTGGATTTTATCAAATACTTTTCCATATCAATTGATATAATAATTTGATTTTTCTTCTTTAGCCTATTGATATTATGAACTACATTAGTTGATTTTCAAATGCTGAACCAGCTTTGCATACCTAGAATAAAAGCCCACCTGGCTGCGGGGTATAATTTATTTTTGTTAATCCTCACCTAAGGATATATAGATATAGATATAGATATAGATATAGATATAGATATAGATATAGATATAGATAGATAGATATGTTGTTATATAGATATAGATATAGATATAGATATATAGATATGTTGTTGTTGTTAATCCTCACCCAAGGATATTTTTCCATCATTGATTTTAAAATATTTTTTTATTGATTTCAGAGAGGAAGGGAGAGGGAGAGAGAGATAGAAACATCAATGATGAGAGGGAATCATTGATTGGCTGCTTCCTGCATGTCCTCCACTGGGGACCGAACTTGCAACTGAGGCATGTGCCCTCCACTAGAATCAAACCCAGGACCCTTCAGTCCGCAGGCCGACACTCTATCCACTGAGCCAAACCGGCTAGGGCTCCATTGATTTTTAGAGCGAGTAGAAGGGGAAGGGAGAGACCGAGAGAGATATCGATGAGAGAGACATATTGATTGGTTGCCTTGTGCATGCACCCCAACCAGGGCCAGGGAACCTGCAATCAAGGTACGTGCCCTTGACCGGAATCAAACCTGGGACCCTTCAGTCCATGGGCTGATGCTCTATCCACTGAGCCAAACCAGCTAGGGCTATACATATATAATTATTTAAAAATTTATTCATCTTGTGATGGACACTTGGGCCGTTGTTAGTTTGGGGCTATTGTGAATAATGCTGCTATGAACATTATTATACAAGTATCTGTATAATAATGCAAAACAATCTAATGTACTTGTGTCTTTACTATCTAAAGTTTAGACAATAACATTCTATATAACAATATTTTTTATTGATTTGTAGATATATAGAGCAAAATGAACTTAATAAATGGGTAATGTCTTTTGACTTAGTTATGGAAAGCAGAAGCATTACAGTGTACATCCCGGGAAAGAAGTTTGGGGATGACACCAATCAACAAACGACTTTTCCCATTCAGTGCAGTTTTTGGTCTTTCATTGATATGGATTCATCTTCAAGAAAACATATGCAGAAAACCAACACTCTAATTGGTCAGATGGTAAGATATATGCATATTTTATTACTAGGGGCCCAATGCAAGAAATTTGCACAAGGGGCTTGGCTCTCGGCCCTCGCAGCCGTGGCGACTTGCCTCGGCCCTCGCAGCCCCGGCTTCGTCCAGAAGGTCATCTGGAAGGACATCCAGAAGGATGTCCAGAAGTTTGTTTGGCTGTCCAGTCTAATTAGCATATTACACTTTTATTATTATAGATTAGAGTTGTTCAGGGAATTTAGCCACATATTTTAATCTTAATGTTTTTGTTGTTCTTAATGTTTTGTTATTATCCCATTTTTATACTTAATTGGATACTAGAACTAAATAATGACATAGTGTGAAATTCTTTTATGTTTTTTAGTCATGCCATGCAGATGTCTCTGCTCATTAGAAATTTTTATTTGAATTTAGTGGAAGTTTTAATGAATAATGTATTAATAAGTATTAGAAAATACTTAATAAAGAGCAGCTTTAAAAAATTAGTCACTACAAAGTTCTCAGGCTATTCAGGAATCACTTTAAATAATTAGTAATAGCAAATCATAATTATTATAGTTATCAGAATATAATTTAATATAAGCAAATCTTATAAATATATGAATAATTCAAATAATTTAAAATTTATTTCCTAAGTCTTTGTGAAAATGCCTGAGTTTAATGTTTGCCTTTTATGTTTTTGTTTGATGTAGGATTGCAGCTTGATTCCAGCTAATCTTGTAGAGGTATTTGGATTATTGATTAACTGTAATGAATCATCTCCTTGCCACCCATTTCTTCCTACTGTGCAACATACTTTAAAGAAAGCCATTGATCCTGAAGGGCTGCTTTATTTAGCTTCTAAACAGTTCACAACAGAAGATTTTGAGAAGGTAAAAAGAGAAAAAATGATTACCAAGAATACTTGTGCTAATGTTTTTCAATTTAAATTCAATTCTCTTTGAGCATTCAGTTTTCTGTTTTTAGGATTCATTTGTTCCAACTTTCTGCTAACTTTTCAACATTTTAAGGACATTGCATAGAAAATATTTAGAATTATAGTTAAATAAAAGGATATAGATATTAGCATGCCCATCCTAGATATTAGCATGTATAAGGACATAGATATTTAAAAAGTTGAGTTTATTCTTTGCACCACTGTCCAAATCACTATAGCTTAAGGAATCTCAATGAAAAAAAAATCAAAATAGAATATTTCTATAGAAAATTATGATGAGAGGCTGTATAGATAATACTGTTATTTACATTTTACAGACTATTCAAAGGTATTTTCTTTAGATGACTGCCTTCAGCATTCTGACTTTAGGGAATATCAATCATGACTCACTAGGTCATTTTAATGTCCTGACATGAAAACATTTGTGGCATATTCAGAGAACCTGAGAGTAGATGATATAAATTTAGTAATGATTTTCATTGTTATTAAAGATACTCAAATATTTATAAGTGAAACCCTTTTAATAGTAACTATTCAGAAATCTGTCCACAGTAGAGTTAAAGTATCTGAGTAGAATAGATAAAAGGCAGAGAATATTGGGAAGTTGGAATGCATGGGTCATTAAATTTTGTTTTCTTATTTGCCTTCCTTATAGGCATATTGCATGGGTAAAAGGTTGAAGGGTGAGGTGGGCTTAAAAATGCATTGTGAGCATTGTTTATTCACATAGATTAGAACAGAAAAAGAACAATATTGATAATACAATAAAGGTCTTTTAGTTTTTTGTTTTTAGTATAGAAGAAAAAGTAGTTTGTCTCTAAGAATTAATATAGATACACTAATGATCTGGATAAATTTTCACCCAGTTTTTCCATCAAAAACAAAAATATCTATGGGTTTATTAATTAGTCAGGACTTATTGAATACTATATATATATATATCTCATATATATATATATGAGCCTACTTCTGATTTTTTTAAATTCTCATGGAAACAAATTTTCTTTTTTAAGTATCATTAACTGAGGTATAAATAACATACATGAAACAATTAAGTGATCATTTATATGCTAAACTGGGTGGCACTGACTATAAGTATTTTAGGATTTCAGAAAGGAAGATAGCAAGTAGAATGTAAGAGTTGGGGACATTTCATAGAGGAGATGAGACTTTGGTAGGGCCTTAAGGAAAGGTAAGATTTAGATGACAGGAAGGATGGGCATTCTAAACAGAAATAAGAATAGGAGCAAAGACATAAAAGTAGAAATGAGTATGCATGGAAAACTATGAGAAGACTTGCCTGACTGGAGCAAAAATTGTATTATGGAGTCACTGGGATTGGGATTTGGCAAATTTACAATAAGCCTTGAAAAGTTCAGGCAAAGGAGTTTATAGTTGATTTGTCAGACTGGAAAGAACAGTTATAGACTTTACTAGTGAAATAGTGAAAATGATTTCCCCAAAAGATAAATCTGCCTATCACACAAAACAGATTGGATGGAATATGTTGCAGCCTGGGCTCTCCAGGAGGTGGACTGAGATGGAGTTTAGTGTACCATTGTTTATCAGGGAGTGCTCTCCTATCAATACCCGTGCAAGGGAGGAGGAAGCAGGATTGGACAGAGAGGGAGTCAAGCTGTGATAGAGGCCCAAAGATTGCCTTTGCTGGCCCTACAGTGAGCTCTGGAGACCCATCAGCGGTGTCCTTTTTTTTTTTTTTTTTAAATAAATAGAGGGGTTTACAACACCCTCCCCCACTTCCACCTCAGTGAATCATTTGATATGGGTTGTCCTGAGGCAATCCCTGAAGAATACTGACAGCTAGAGGTGAAATACTGACAGCACTCCCAGAAGCTGGAGCAACAGTCTTTTTCTGAAGGGGCATATAGGTGGCAGATGACTGGGCCGCCAAAGGATAAATAAAACCTAGAAGGGCTACTGATGTAGTTAATAGTATTATCCAGTTCCAAAGGTCTGGAGGGAACTGTGGAGTATCAGGAAAATAAAGAATACAGGACATATTCAATCCAGAACATATCCAAATCCTTTTTAAAAAAGTTATCTTTAAGATATAAAGATTATAATTAATAGCAACATTTTTATGGTTAATTTTTCTATGAGTTTTAAAACCAGAAAACAACTAAGATTGTTGAAAAGTCTGGAAATTATGTCATTGAATAAGGACTTACGAAAATGGGAATCACTCAGGAAGAAAAAAAGCACAAAACTCAGAGAAAATATTGATAATCATGTTGAAAACTTATTCTCGCCCAAAATCTTACTGAATCTCCAAGGCCCAAATTCATAGTAGTTAACACAATCCCTCCCACATTGCTAGTGTTCAGTTGTGTTCTTTAAAAGGAAGAAAGGGAATTAAGGAGGGCAAGCTCTAGGGCCAATGAGGGAAAGTTATAAGGAAATAAACTGTCAAAGAATTAAAGCTATTCAAAAGGAAATGAGCTTCTGAGAGAAGCCCTCCCAATGAAAGGCTCTGAGTGAGCCTTGATTCCATTGGAAACAAAGACTTAAAAGTCATTCCAATACGTTGCACAGAACATTTCTGCACCAAGAAGGAGGAAGAGGTTATTTGGGGTAAACTTTAATCTTACAAATATAAGACTGATTTAAAATGCTCAATGACTTTGGGATGGCCCCAGATATTTAATTTCGATGTAAATAAAATATGTAAACTTTAAAAAATAAAATGACAATATACTTTGCATTTTTGTAATATAGATTATATAATAAAGTCTGAGTCTCTTACATTTTTCACACTTTTAATTTAGCTGCTGGCTTTTGCAAAGAATTTGAATGTAGAATTCAGCTTGGAGGCAGAAAGAATGGTTCATGGCTATTATCTAGCAAGTCGCAGAATCAGAACAGATTCTATATTTGGATCAAAACTGTCAGCATCTGCATTAAAATATTTGTAGGTATTCACTGTAAAATTTTAAAGCCAGTATTAACTTTTAAATGATGTGCTTAATTAACTTATTTATCTATTTCATTTGTTTTTTTTGTTTAATTGCTGGTTGGTTGGTTTATAATTTACCTTGTTCCAAGAGAATTTAAGGTGAATTAACAATTCCTTTTATTATATTGTTACATCATTTGAACCTCCAATTATTTCTTTTCACTAAATTAATTTTTATTAGACCCCCTGTGTAAGATGTGTCTGAGAAAAGTATATGGATTTCAAATACAAATGATTGTTTTTTAAAATGTGGCTGTTGACATTTGTCAGGAAGAAGGAATTTTCTTTACCCTTCTGGCTGGTCTAATAATTAAATTGACATAAAACAGAGTAACAGTCCTAACCAGTTTGGCTCAGTGGATAGAGATTCAGCCTGCGGACTCAAGGGTCCCAGGTTCAATTCCGGTCAAGGGCATGTACCTTGGTTGCAGGCATGTACCTTGGTTGCGGGCACATCCCCAGTAGGGTGTGTGCAGGAGGCAGCTGATCGATGTTTCTCTCTCATCGATGTTTCTAACTCTCTATCCCTCTCCCTTCCTCTCTGTAAAAAAATCAATAAAATATATTTTTAAAAAACACAAAAAACAGAGTAACAAAAGTAAATAACCATATTTATATATCTATTTACTTATTTTGTAAATAACCATAGTTAATTATATAGTACTTATAGGAATCCCACAACATGAGGGGTTCAGGGATGGAAAGTTAAAGTGAGTATCTATGGCATTCTGAACTAAGGATAAGTAAGGTACCTTGAAGCTTCATGGGGGAGGAAGGTCACTCACAGGATAGTAAGAAGAGCAGATGTTCAGGAATTACATATTTGCCTGTCCTAAGGACAGGTTGTAAAAAGTTACCTCTGATAATAACTCTTATCATGGGCAAGGCCCCAAATTTAAATTTCTTAATCACTGTTAACAGTTTTTGTGTATTCTTTCAGAAATTACCCATTCAAATACTAGCATATACAAATATGTAATTTAAATATATGAGGTATAATAATACATATTTATTTTGAGTATGTTATATATTTTAGATGACTATGTTATTTAAACATTCATAAACATTCATATACATATTATATACATATAATATACATATGAATGTTATTTAAACATTCATATGTATATTATAATATATAAATATATATTCATATGGATACTCTATTTTTGCCCAAATGGAATCATGCATGGAATATATAGTATACTATCACACTATCATTACATAAATATTTACCTCATTCTGTTTTAATAGCTGCATTACAGTTTTACTGTGTGGTGATGTGACTGTATCATAGTTTAAATAATTCCCTATTGCTAGACCATTACTTCATTTGATATAGATTAGATTAAAGTATAATCTCAAACAAATTATAAAGTAAGACCAGGAATAAAGTAATCCATTAAATAAATAAATTCCTTGTTATAACTGCAGTATAAAATAAGACAAGGGAGGGACCGGCAGGAAATGTCAAGTATGAGTCTAAAAGAGATAAATATGTTTAATTTCTCCCAATGGTATATTTATCTTCATAGAGCTGGGAAAAAATGCTAAAGATAAGACAAAGTAGAAATCAACTGTGATGTTTTATAATGGTAAACATAATTATATAATGCTTTCCTTTTTCTGAAGTAATATTTATACTCAAATCAGTACTCAGTACTCAAAGCTTAAAAGCTTTGAAAGTTATGTTTTCTCATTATGTTTTTTCTCTGCAGTAAAAAAGATGTTTTTTATTTAAACTCATATAGCCTCAGTTTACATTTGACTGTATTGATCCAAAAATAAAACAGTTAATTTTAATATGATAGCTCTACTTTTTCCCATTGTAGAAATAACCCCCAGGAGTGGAGATGGGGGTTATGAAGTAGCAAAGTAAATGAACCACTAGTCAGAAGAATTATAAACCTTGAATTTTTCTCCTACTTAGATAGACAGGTACCTAATAACACCACCCTAGCTTTTCTAAAGAAGTGAAGCTGAACAATACTCTCTTCTCTTTTCCTGAAAGGCTGTATACATATTCTGTCTGGTCAACATTTTTAGAAGGAGCTTGGGTGAGACAGCAGGAACATGATAATCAAATTTGTAAATAAACACCTCTGGAGAGCTCTTCACAGGTTTGAATGATGGTCTTAGTCTAACAAGAAGAAAATTAATAGGATAAATGTAATGTCCTCAGTTAGACCTCAGTCTCCCCAGTACATGTGAATGGATGGGAAAGGGTGATAAGGCTTAATATAAAAAAGACTTGAGATATCATTCTTTTGATGGTTCATACGAGTAAACAATATAACATGGTTGTTAATAATACTGTGATTTGGGTTGCATTAATAGAATATAGTAAGCATATTAGCATAACCAATGGACACAGACACTGGGGGGGGGAGGGGTTGCCCAGGGTGGGAATGGCTTGGGGGGGGGGGGCGGTCAATAAGGGAAAAAGGAGACATATATAGAACTTTAGACAAAAAAAAAAAAAAATAGAATACCTGGTATAGTAAGGAAATGTTAGTTCTGCCTCTCTCTATTCTGCTAGTCAAATCATACCTGTAATCATTCTATACTGAAAAGGAGTATTATCCAAATCTGCTCACTAGCCAGAATGGTGAGGGGCCTGAACATTATGTCTTATGACATTTTAAAAGAACTAGGGATATTTATCTTGAGAAAAGAAAACGTGGGCCAACTAGAAAAGTTGTATTTGAATATTTGAAGAGCTGTCACATTTAAGAAGTATTGGGCTTTTTCTGTAATCCCAGAAGACAGAACCAGGTACCAGTGGGTGGAAATTGCAGTGAAACCAATTTCAGCTCACATTTATATAATCTTTGTGGGTGAGTCCCAAGATTTTCAATCGCCTTATTTTTGAAATCATAAAACTCCTCTGAATTGTTATCCCCATTTCATACCTGAACTTCAAAATAATTGCAAAATTAAATAATTTATACAATGTCACACAGGTAGTGAGTTCTGGAGATTTAGCCCAGTTTTTCTGATTCTCAAGTCCAACAATCGTTCATGTATATTATACACGCCTAATGAGAGCTTAAGGAAAAATTTTCAGGTAATCAAAGGTAGTTTAAAAAGAAAGGCATGGCCTGGCTGGTTTGGCTCAATGGATAGGGCGTCGGCCTGCAGACTGAAGGGTCCCAGGTTTGATTTTGGCCAAGGGCACATGCCTGGGTTGCGGGCTTGATCCCCAGTAGGGGGCGTGGAGGAGGCAGCCAATCAATGATTCTCTCTCATCATTGATGTTTCTATCTCTCCCTCTTCCTTCCTCTCTAAAATCTAATATATATATATATATATGGATTGCGTTATGATTCCCAGTGAATTGTAGGAAAAGTTCAAAAGAAACTAGACAATAATTAGCCTGGGGTGTTGTAGAGAAAATTCAATTAATTTGATGGGAGTTTGAACTTTAATCTCAAAGTTCTCTTCCAACACTGAAATGTCAAGATTCTATGAGGACTAAGATGCAGAACTGGAAGAAAATATTAAGGATGTATCTATAAGAGATATTTAGTTAGGTTAACTTTCCCAACTGTGTGTTTATCTGAACAGAATTTGGGGAGAGAGGGTATAGAATAATAACAATAAGCCAGGGTGGAAACCAACTCTTTGATAATAAGTCAGGATACTTGCTTGTTATAGAATAGTCTGTTCATCTTGGTAGGAAAAAAATGCTTTGGAAAGAAACTAAATTATTTTTGGATATATTTTTTATTGATTTCAGAGAGGAAGAGAGAGGGAGAGAGATATAGAAACATCAATGATGAGAATCATTGATTGGCTGCCTCCTGCACATCTCCCACTGGAGACCAAGCCCACAACCCAGGCAGGTGCCCTTGACTGGAATCAAACCCAGGACCCTTCAGTCTGCTCTATCCACTGAGCAAAACCAGCTAGGGCCTAAATTTTTTTTAAAGAAAGAATATGCTAATCTTTAAAGTGTGGCTTATGGTCACATATATCTTGGTTTGTTTCTGCCTAAATATATATCATCTTTATACTATCAGCATATTTTGATTGGCTTCAATTTTCTTTTGTAGAATTTCCCTATCTGAAGCCCATGCTCGACTGAACTTAAGGAATAAAGTGCTTAAAGAAGATGTACTAATTGCAGTCTTATTATTTGAAACATCTCTCACATTGAAATATGGTAAGTTTTTAAATTATTAATGATGAGTACAAATAATTATATTTAAACATATTTTTACTCTTAAATTAAAATGTTATAATATTTCAAATATTTTAAAGATTAATAAATTTCTATCAGGTAAAGCCTTTTTTTAAAAAAATATATTTTATTGATTTTTTACAGAGAGGAAGGGAGAGAGATAGAGAGTTAGAAACATCGATGAGAGAGAAACATCGATCAGCTGCCTCCTGCACACTTCCTACTGGAGATGTGCCCGCAACCAAGGTACATGCCCTTGACCGGAATCGAACCCGGAACCTTTCAGTCCGCAGGCCGACGCTCTATCCACTGAGCCAAACCGGTTACGGCAGATAAAGCCTTTTTTAATTTGAACATTTACTAATTGCTTATAGTAGTATCATTATCTGATGTTAAGTTCCTTATTATGCATAATTGTTTCTGTACTTGAACTTTTGCATTGTTTAAGTAATTCTAGAAAAAATGTACTTAATACAATACTTGAAATGATTTTAAATTTATCTTCCTTTTAATATAACATGCAACATTTAATAGTCATGCAGTCCCCCACAGTGGAGTTAGGCACATAGCCAAATAAAATGTGATTATATTAGCACCTTCTCTGAATTGCTAGTTATAATACTACTAGAGGCCCGTACATGGATTCATGCACATTGAAAGGAAATTAATTAGAAGAAATATTTTAATATCGCTATTCGCCCTTTCTGTATAATAGAAGTGTCAACCAAATTCACAATCAACAGTGATAGATGGAAACACACACGTGCAATTGGTGCCAGCAAGAGCTTTATGTATATAGATAAACTTGCTTAATTAGACCTGCTTTCTGACTTAGCTAAACTTTTTCCAGCCCAGTGAAGCACCCCAACTGCTCTTTCAGGCAATTGTCAGCAACACAGCAGTAAATATCAACA